CCATGGAAAGGGTTATTAATGGACCAGTCAATGTCCTGAATGCTGCCATAAAACAATTAGATCATTCCCTCCTATATCTTTTCTGAGCATTAGCTCTTTTCATTACAGTGTATTCGAAGCAAGGAATAACTCCATCCACCAGCCTCAGCGGGAGGAGAGCACCCGATGAGACGTCCAGAATACTGCTCTTGGCTGGGTGGAGTACGGGGGTCCCTGGTATACGTCTCCCCCTTATCCGTTGTTTCACATATTTGTTGCTCATCAATAGGCGAACCGTACTGTACTGTAGGTTGCAAACGACGGCTATGCGGATCGGGACTGAGGTGAATTGAAATATGTTCCCCTATTGTATAGTACTGTACTTTTGTCTTCCAGTGGCCCCAGGGCCACCAATCAACTCCCTCCCCTCCCCCTCCCCCAGTGCCTCCTGCCTGCCGCAATCAGCTGTTCAGCAGCATTTGGGAGCAGTGCCGTGTCTCCGGTACAGGAGGACCCAGACAGAGGTAAGGGGGCAAAGGCTGGGGGTGGGCACGGGGCCAGGAGTGGAGTCTTGGGCACACAGCCAGAACCCCGTGAGCGGGGCCAGTGGCAGACCCCTGGCCGTGGGGCCTGCGGCCAGGACCCCAGGAGCAGAGCCCTGGGAGTGGGGGGCTGGGTGCGGGGCCCCGGACACGGTGCCAGTGGTCAGGGAGTGGGGCCAGCACCACAAGAGCAGAGCCCCAGGCGGCGGTTGGGAAGCGGGGCCAACAGCCGGGACCCAAGCCCCAGTTGCAGGGCCGGGGAACTGAGTCCCGGGCACAGGGCCCCAGGCATGGGGCCAGCGGCCGAAGACCAGCCCGGTAGCCGGGACCCAAGCCCCGGGCTGGGGAGTGAAAGCCTGGGCGTGGGGCCAGCAGTCCCGTGTAAAACCGGGGGTGCTGCAACATCCCCCGCACTCCTAGTCCCCGCGCCTATAGGAGAGGGAGGAGCAGGGACGGGGCACTCTCAGAGGAGTACTGTACAGAACTGTACTGGTGGGTCCCTGGTATACATCATTTCGGTATCCGTCGCCCTTTTCAAGAACACAACCCCGTATGTTCCCCTGGCCTGCTCAGCTAGCTAGGGACTAGGTAGAACTGCGGTGGAATTGGGCTCAGTCCTATTCAATAGATTCATAAATGATCTGGAAAAAGGGGTAAACAGTGAGGTGGCAAAACAGAATGTTGGGCATCATTAAGAGAGGGTTAGATAATAAGAGAAAATATCACATTGCCTCCACAGAAATCCATGGTACGCCCACATCTTGAATACTGTGTGCAGATGTGGTCACCCCATCTCAAAAAAGATATATTGGAATTGGAAAAGGTTCAGAAAAAGGCAACTAAAATGATTGGGGTATGGAACGGCTGCCATACGAGGAGAAATGAATATGACTGGGACTTTTCAGCTTGGAAAAGAGACAACTAAGGGGGATATGATAGAGGTCTATAAAATCATGACTGGGGTGGAGAAAGTCAATAAGGAAGTGTTATTTACCCCTTCTCATAACACAAGAACTAGGGGTCACCAAATGAAATTAATAGGCAACAGGTTTAAAACAAACAAAAGGAAGTATTTCTTCACACAACCCACAGTCAACCTGTGGAACTCCTTGCCAGAGGATGTTGTGAAGACCAAGACTATAACAGGGTTCAAAAAAGAACTAGGTACATTCATGGAGGATAGGTCCATCAATGGCTACTAGCCAGGATGGGCAGGGATGGTGTCCCTAGCCTCTGTTTGCCAGAAGCTGGGCATGGGCAACAGGGGATGGATCACTTGACGATTACGTGTTCTGTTCATTCCCTCTGGGGCAACTGGTATTGGCGACTGTCGGTAGACAGGATACTGGGCTAGATGGACCTTTGGTCTGACCCAGTCTGGCCGTTCTTATGTACATGCCTCCCGCAATTCAGGCTTTTTTCATCAGTTCCTCTCCTGAGCTGTTGTGCGGAGCTGAGTGCTGTTGAGCAGCTGTGACATCCCACTCCAGAAATGGCCACGTTTCATTGTTGGAGGAAGTGATTTCTGTGGGTGCCTCTTGGAGATACAGCACAAACCTGGCATCCCAGGGGCAGGGGGTGCTCAGGTGGCTTTGAGCCAAGTCTGGCCTGCTCGGCGGCTGAAACTGCCCCCATGGAGCCCAAACCAGGCTGCCAATGGGTGGCAGCACCACACAGACCTGTCTTTGTGGCGCCCACAATGGCCCCATTCCCAGCACACCACTGACAGCGGAGCTTGCTCATGGCCACCCTACTCTGCCCCAGCATTCTCCCCTGGCCTGACGCAGCCTTTGATGGGCTGCAGAGGGAAGGAGCCCGAGCCTGGATTTTAGATAGACACAGACAGAGAGGCCGGCTGCAAAGCCTGTCCGCAGGGCTACGGAGCACTATATGAAAGAAGAGAATACTGAATATCTACCTGCCAGGCGTTACCAGCCTAGGAATAATTGCACTGCAGTGACTCTTGCTTTCATTAAGGGCAGAGCATTCATCTTGTGCACGGGACACATCCCAGCCATCAAAGTCCCCATTTCCCCCTTCACTTGGTGTCATTGCTCATTTCAGACACAACCCACCCACAGAGCAGAGGGCACCTTCTCCTGTTATCTTCTATCCATTCCAGCCTCCCCCTGCCTGATCCAAATCCCCTCTCACATGTGCCGTATAAGCACCAGGCAGCCAGCGGCTGCGTTCAGGCTTAATGAAAATCAGGTATGTTTTCTTAGGGAAAGATCGATGCAGTCTCCTTCCCTAGCCAGTCTCAGAGCACACGCACCCCACCCCAGCCCTGCACGGAGCACCCTGACAGATTGCCCAGGACAGCTACTTCAAAAAAGGGGACGATCCTGGGAAAACCTGGACAGGCGGCACCGCTCTCCCCAGCTGGGTCGCTGCTGCTGCCCTATATACCCATCTTGCCAAAAATCTAACGTCCCACCAGCAAGGGGTTAAGTGCGGCAGACGGAGGGAGGGCCCCACTGCTCCACTCTCCAGCGGGAAAGGATTCAAGTTGACTCAATTGTTACACAACCCTGAGCAGGAGAAGCTGGGAACATCTGGAACGGCAAGGCAAGAGCGGCAGGTTTGAAGCCCACGAGGCGCTCCCCTGCGCATTTCTGAGGCCTCTCTGGGAATCCCAGCGGAAGGGCAGTTCGGGGAGCTGCAGCCAGCACACCTGGCTGTCCCTGGCTCGCTGCAGGGCAGGAGGAGGGGAATGCAGCCTTAGGCTGCTGGCCAGAGACACCAAGAATCCTGGACGGGGGGAAAGGGCTCTAAGAAAGAGGGCGACGGCCTGGCAGTGAGTGAAGGGCCACCGGCTTGCAACCCCGCTGAATGCAGAACCCCGCTGCTAACACAGCAGGCAACAGCTCAGTGAGTCTGCTCCCAATGGGGGCGCCTGTGTGCCCAATGCACCGCCGCCAGCCCCTCCTACCCTGCCCCCGTTTACCGTAGCCACCTTGCCAGCTCTTTGGGGCAGGGCCGTCTTTCGTTCCCCGAGTCCAGCGCCTAGCGCAATGGGAGGCTACCCTGACTGGGGCCTCCAGGCACAACTGGAAGTAACCCATAGCCCATACCATGGCCTCCTAGCTCTCTGTTCAGCTGCCTCCATAGGAAAGGCCAGCACCCGAAGGGTTAAGAGAAAAACAGCCTGGGCTTCTCTTGCTGAAAAGTTCTGAGAACCACAGAAGGGGGAGCCCTGAGGGCGGCTCATGCAGAAATCACCATTAATCCCTGTAAGCACAGGAGCACAGACAGTGAGATAGTAGTGCCAGGCTGGAAGCGAAATGGGAGTCTAGCAGGCAGAGGGATTCCCTCCCGACCCTCCCTGGCCCAGAGCGGCCAAGGTTAGAAGAACAACCAGCTCTGAGCGAGGCCACCTACCCCAGCCGAGACAGACGGGTCACTCGCTTGTTTGCCGGGTGGGGTCGGGAGACAGGATTCTGGTGTGGAAATGGAGCATTATTCAAAGTCTCCCATCAGGGAAGGAACTCAGGTGACCTTTCCCCTCCCTGACACCTACACGAGTCCAGCACTGATCTGGAGCCCGCCCGCCTTGCCCAGATTAATGACTGGTCCGCACGAGTGGTCTCACTCCCACGGGTAATGGACAAGCGCCCATATCAAAGACCCCCACAGCTGGCCCCTCAATGGCCATCTCGGCAGAGACTCCCCTGTCGCTGCTAGAACGCTGCCATCCGTGCTGCACCCATTCCATGCACAAAGCACTTCTGCTGCCAGGCTGCCACGCGCTCTGCTCCTCCTTCCCTTCCACCCCAGGGCCACGCCGCTCGGAGCACCACAGCCTCCCTGGGGTCAGTGGCACAGCGGGAACAGAACCCAGAGGGTCTGTCTGACTCCTCGTCACTGCCCGCAACCACCAGAACCTGCTCCAGGGGTCTGCAGCAATAGAACACGAGCACAGTTCGGTGGGCCTGAGACTAGCGCTTCCTACTGCACACGGGCTCCCGGGCCATCCCCAGCAGTCACATGTGTGGCACCACAGTCAGTCCAGTCATCCCCACTAGCTCCATTTGCTGACATAGGCACTTTCCCACTGGCCCTCCAACACCTCTCTCCCCCTATGCCTGTTCCTGTGCCCAAGGCTGTCCCTACCGCCCACCGCACCTGACTGCTGCATATGGCATGTGGGACCTAGCATACAGAATCATCAGGCTGCGATCACCATGGGAGATCCCACAGGCCCAGCCGGTTCCCACCTTGTACAGGGCACCAAGAGCAACCAGACTGGTCTGAGGGTTGTGGATTCCTGCAGGCGCCTGAGACCAACCCGATCGGCTCCACCCCACTGTGAGAGCTTGGGAAGGTTGCCACATGGAGGGCAGGGCGGGAGCCTCCGTGCAGTGCTGATGGGTGTTAGCTCGGTGTGGGCTGGTGGGGCGAAGGTGCGGAATTTCTCTGGCCATCCACCCCAGCTGCAGCCCCCTCCATGCTCTTCCCGCTATGACTGGCTTCGCTCACCCTTACCCAGGAGCCTGAGCGGCTGCTGCCGCAGGGATTTCCAATCCAAAGAAACGGTCATCGTCTCACTCCTAATTCCTGCCATCTGTTGACTGGCTCAGACGCAGAATTCGGTCTTTGTTCCCACTCTGGAATCCCAGGAGCTGGGCTGCGCTGGACAGGCGGTTCCCTGAGCTCAGGAGATTAGTGCGTGTGGTTAATATCACATGCCACAGGCAGGGGAGGACTAAGACCTGGATCAGCTGATAGCAGGGGCCCCAAGCAAATGTGCTTCCAGCAGCAGCTTCTGCGCGGAGGGTTCTCTCGCAGCAGCTCCGTTCTGGTACATAAGCAGAGAGGGGTATGAGTCACAAAGGGCTGCCCTGTGACTAACTCTGTTCTTCCACTGAGCATTAGCTGCCCTGTCCAGCACAGCATCTCTCCCACTTGTAGGGATCAGGGTTGCCGCCAGGCAGTCATGACTTGACTAGGCAGTGGAGAGGGCACCGGACGGGGAGTAAGGAGATATATGTTCTATCCCTGCTCTGCCATTGACCTGCTGTGCGACTGCCTCTCTCTCCCACCTTTTCTCAGTGGAAGGGGCATGTCAAAGAGCTACCTTAACCCCTGCTCTGAGAGTTACCACAGATAATGCACAGGCGAGGGGAAGTGGCCCTAGGACACTGGACATGGTTTGGTGACCAGATGTTACATACAACTGTATGTTGCCCTCTCAAGGTATCACTTCCTGTTTGTTCACCATCCTCCGATGTACCCATTCAGGAGAGCAGGACTCCCAGGGAGTCTGCACACCTGCAAGGAGCAGGCAGAAGTTACTAGAATGATCGGAAGAGCCAAACTTTGACCTCTCGTTTTCCCCAGGTTTCTATGTGTAGCTATGCACGTCCTCCAAGAGACCCACAAAAACGCTTCCAGGATCTTTTCTAGAGTCAGCCCTTACGCGTGAGCCTACGAACTGCAGCACTAGTGCCCCCAGTCCCAACCACCTCACGAATGACCCAAAGCCAACGAGCCCTCGGCGCTGCCCAAGCCACATGTGGTCCTACAAACAACCCTGCATGGGCGAGGGGATAAACAGCAGCACAGAAACACTTCACCTTCAGAGATCAATAACTCATTAAAAGAGGGGACAAAAACCATCTCTAAAGAGAGATCCCTTGACACTGGGGCTCTGCACTCCCAGAGTCCATGCCCCGTTGGGAGCAAGCTTCCTAGCGAGCAAGAGGGGGCCAGCATCTGCCATTCGTGGGTTAATGTTTACAGATGCAGGAGGCCATGCGCCATTGACCACAAGCCAGCGGAAGCGCCACAGCAGCACAGCTCAGCCTGTACTAGTGGGTTTCTCACCAGGAGTCTTGGAACAGGCGACATCAAAGCGATAACAAAGGCTACTTGAGTCAAACAATATTTACTGGACTCTTTATTTGGATTTTCAACAGCTCAGACTGCAGCTCAGCATGACACAGACCACCCAGGGGGACGTCATGTGGAGCCTCAGACAACCCAGATCATCACTCCCCCGCCACCAACCACATGCAAACGGAAACCAGAACCGCACGCAGGCTAGAGGGTGCTGCAGACCAGCAGCAGGGAGACAATTTACAGACAATTAAGCCTCAACATCCTTCTGGAGTAATTCTCTGTGTTTACAGATGGGGAAACGGACTTGTAGGAAGGTCAAGGGACTTGCCTGAGGTCACACAGCAACTTAGACTGTAAGATCCTTGGAGAAAGAAGGAGCTATCTTTTTGTCTTGTGTTTGTACAGCACCCAGGATAATGGGGTCCTGGTCTAGAACAGGGCTCCTATGCACTATGAACATAAGTAGTAATAAACTCTGCAGCAAAGCAAGGAATACAAACAAGAGTCCTGCTTCGGAGTCTAGTATGGTAGCTATTAGATCAGGGGTGGGCACACTTTTTGGCCCGAGGGCCACATCTGGGTATGGAAATTGCATGGCGGGCCATGAATGCTCACAAAATTAGGGCGCAGGAGGGTGCTCCAGGCTGGGACCGAGGGGTTCAGAGGGCAGGAGAGGGAACAGGGCTGGGGCAGGGGGTTGGGACATGGGAGGGGGTCGGGACATGGGAGGGGGTCAAGGGTGCAGGCTCCTGGGCAGAGCTTACCTCAAGCAGCTTCCAGAAGCAGCAGCATGTCCCCCCTCCAGCTCCTATGCGGAGGCGTGGCCAGGCGGCTCTGCACGCTGCCCTGTCCGCAGGCTCCGCCCCTGTAGCTTCCATTGGCCACGGTTCCCAGCCAATGGGAGCTGCGGGGGCAGCACTTGGGGTGGGGACAAAGTGCAGAGCCCTCAGGCTGTCCCTACGCATGGGAGCCGGAGAACGGACATGCCGCTGCTTCTGGGAGCCGCACGGAGTGGGACAAGCCCCTGTCCCCGCTCCCCAGCGAGAGCTCGAGGGCCAGATGAGGCCCCCGGGCCGTAGTTTGCCCACCCCTGTATTAATCCTTTTTATCTTTTCCCTGATCACTCTAGGATGGTTTAAAAACATTTCAAGAGATCTGTTAATATCACCCTAAAGAGTGCGAAAACCAAAATAATTTCTAGGTCCACATTGGAGTTCTCCCACACCAGCAGGGACCTGCAAAGTCTGGGTTGCAGGCACTGCAGGGGAATGCTTCTTAACTTCAGTACCTTCACTGGAACTTTAAAGAGACGAACACACAAATGATTCAGAGATACGGTTCTAGTTATCTGAGCGGGGGTAAAACAGAGGGATTGGTCAACAAATTAAAAATCTACGGAAACTCTTACTCGTGTGCACGAGCATTCCTCATGTAGCCAATCAGCGCGATTACCCATGGCTCTCATTCAAACCAGCACTTAAGCATTCATCACAATCAATGGAATTTAAGCAAACGCTTACATTTTAAACTTAAGTGCCTTGCGGAATCAGGGCCCACTAGAATACGGATTTGCAGAACCGAGCCCTAGATATGGAGATAAATTTAACCCAAAAGTCCCTCTAGAGTGTTTCCTAATCACTGAAAGCAAGCATTGTTCAATCGGCAGTTCAGCTCTGGGTAGTTGCAAATTACCAGAAGGAGCAAGGAAGAGACAGTGCATTGCAGTGCATACACTAGAGAAAGAAAAAGAATGAACACTACTGCCAGTCATCAGCAATGTCACACTCGTAAATGGGCACTATCAGTATGATATACTCTAGGCTTAAAATTCAACCCATATTGCTATTGTTCTAATCCTGACAGGAAAGGAAGGTCCTTTAGATTCCAAAGGGTTCCCCCTGTCTTTAATTTAACTTTAATTAAAAAAAATTAGAACTCCACCCCGCTGTCAGAGAATTCTATACAAAAATGAAAGTTGTAGCAATCAAGTGATTAGAACCTGGGTTCCTTCTCTCCGGGCAGCAACATCTAATGCTTGAAACGGACAAATGAGCAGGGCTCGCTGGCTCTATTCCTGGCTCTGCCACTGCCTCACTGCAGCCTTGGGCCAGCAACTCAACCACCGTGCCTCAGTTTCCCCACCAATTAAAATAAGAACACCATTCATCTGCCAGCTGGAGAGCATTGAGAGATTTAATTACAGATTTACAAAGAGCTTTGAGACAGGTTTCAGAGTGGTAACCGTGTTAGTCTGTTTCAGCAAAAGGAAGGAGGAGTACTTGTGGCACCTTAGCGACTAACAAATTTATTTGAGCATAAGCTTTCATGGGCTACAGCCCACTTCATCAGATGCATGCAGTGGAAAATACAGTAACAAATTTATTTGCTAAAGCCCACAGCCCACCTTAATCAATTCGTCTCATTAGAGTTGGTATGGCAACACCCATTTTTTCATGTTCTCTGTATATATCGTCTTCCTACTGTATTTTTCACTGCATTCATCTGATGAAGTGGGCTGTAGCCCACGAAAGCTTATGCTCAAATAAATTTGTTAGTCTCTAAGGTGCCACAAGGACGCCTCGTTCAAAGTGCTTTGAGATCCTCTAATAAAAAGGTGCTCTGGAAGTGCAATACGTTTTTTCCATCTGAATGCACAAGTTTGCCACATGGGAGACATTAGGATCATACTAAAAATAAAATATAATACAATTAAACAAGCTGAGAGGATAATCACATTAGAGACAGATCAAAAGCCTGGAAAATAAACATACAAGTAACAACTCTCTGAAAGATCAACAGGAACTTCCTGGAAGAAAGTCTGAATGGGATAAAGCATTGTACTAACAAGCGGTGGTTGCATCGTCCTGGTTAAGGCAGGATTATGGGATCTGGGCTCTCAGGAAGAGAGGCCGATTTTATAGCGTAGCGATTAATAGCAGTTTCTAGCACTGCAGCTATTCAGGGCTGCTGCTGCTGCCACCATAGCACTAGTAACAATCCAGGACTTGCTACAGAAGAGTGATATGGGTGTCCCTGTGGGGGTGCCACCCAGAAGAGTGATATGGGTGTCACACCTTAGCCTGATAGAAGCTCCAGGCCTGTGCACCGAAGGTACATGCGCTTACCCACAAAGGCAGAGATGGACTGAGGAATGGATTGGTTTCTTCTCTCTGTTTCAAGGCAATTATTATCCAAGGAGGGAAAGCAGGAGCCCTCGAAAACAAACACGCATTAAGGACACTATGCTGGAAGCCCATGTACTCTGTACCTGAACGCACTCACTGAGCATGGGGAGAGCGCAGCCCAGGGAGCAGCGGGAGCCATTTGAAATTTGGAGGAGGGAAGAAGAGGGAACATCAGGGTTATTGCTCATCACCTGCCCAGAAGATTATTTTTGAGCATACCCAGGGCCGGTGCAACCCATTAGGCAACCTAGGCGGTCGCCTAGGGCACTAGCATTTGGGGGGGTGCCATTTCGGGTCCTTCGGCGGCAACCGGATCTTCGGCTGCCCCGGTCATCGTCAGCATTTAGGCGGAGGGAGCTGGGGCAGGGGGGCGCAGGGAGGGCTGCCTGCAGCAAGTAAGGGAACCCCCTGTCCCAGCTTACCTCTGCTCCGCCTCCTCCCATGAGCCACCGCCCCGCTCTGCTTCTCTCCCTCCCAGGCTCGCGGCGCCAAACAGCTGATTGGAGCCGCAAGCCTGGGAGGCGGGAGAAGTGGAGCGGCGACGGCGTGCTCGGGGAGCAGGCAGAGCAGAGGTGAGCTGGGGCGGGGAGCTGCCGGGGGGGGGAGCATCTCAGGGCGGAGGGGGAGGGCTGCTGCAGGGGGGGGGCGCCTTAGGGTGGGGGGGCAGAGAGC